CGTTTACACATTAGTTGCTGCCAACATGCTCATAGACCAGCAAGAAGGTGAGCTGGTAGGTATGTTCACAACAATGACAAAAAAGGGCTGTGGCTATTACTTCATGGGATTTAGTTCTTTGGTTTGGAGGTTTAAGGTCCTGATTTCATGGGATCTTCTAGTTAACATGTTCAGTGCTCCTGTGTAGTGGCAGCATCTTAAAACTTGCAGGCTGCCATCCAAGGCAGGAAATTGGTCTCTAGTCACCTGAAGCATCAGAGGAAAGAGAGTCAGAAATAGGAAGAGAATAGGGAATGTGTGGGTATTTGCCTCCATGAACAACTGCCTCCTCTCCCACGGCGCTGGAGGGTGCCTGACTTCCATTGCTGAACATTTAAATAAAAAATTCTACAGAAGCATCATGATCAAAGGGGGGTGGAGGTGGGTGAGGAATGTATATCTGAATATCAAATTCCCATAGAATTTGGACTTTCTGGAGTCACCAAGGGTAGATGAACCCACCAAATGATTTCCCTGAGATCATCTTTAAGCCTTAAACCCAAAATGTTCCCCCACAGTCTTCTTAAAACCAAACAGTAGTTTCACTTAAGTAGTAATGAATGTCTGCTTTGAGTAGGATGCCCTTTAAGATCTATCTGTATGGGATCATATTGACAACAGCAGTTTGAAAGGTCCACTGAGAACCTGAGTGGGCAGTGAGTCTCTGTGCCTGAGGGAGGAGCAGCTCAGAAAAGGCTGGGGAGGGGGTTGCACCACTCAGGGTCACTGAATTGTGCAGGTAGAAATTGTTGCACTGGTGTATGTTTTGCTGTGTATAATTTTAACAACAACCACAATAAGATAAATTATGAAAACTTAATAAAAAAGAAAACATTAGTGTAGTAGTTACCTAATCTTGTGTAAACTTTAGGATTTTAAGAGTGGAGGGGTGGCATCTAGCCTGTCGTAGGCATGGCCTTCTTGTGAGGATTCTTTCTCCCTGGAGGAGGGTCACACTCTCTCTCTTTGCCTCACATTCCTGTTGACAAGCCATATGGAGCCACGCTGATGGCTGCCAGAGCCCTGGAGATGCATTTACAGCTACTGGATCCACAAGACTTTTCCCACTGGCCTTGATCTTTCTGCATTTGGCATCATTACGCATAGCTACGTGAGTCTGAAGAGAAATCTCTGGACTAGTATTGGATTTATGGGATAATCTCGGACATGTGGACTTGATCTGGACTGGGCTGTGATGTTTTCTTAATATACAAGAACTCTCAGATACAAAGCTCTCTTTTACATAAATATGAATGTTTCTGGATTTGTTTCTCTAGTCAAAACTGGACTGACACAATTAGGAAGCAGTTTTAAACTGACACACATGGAGTTACCTGCCATGAGTTGGAATTGGTTTGACAAGACAGGGCAGGGAAGCGCGCTGCCCCATGTCCAGGCTGCCCTTCCTCGGGCTCCTGTGCAGTCGCATGCTCAAGGACAGGGTCAGGGGGAGACCAGGCAGGTGCCCCAGCTCACTCCTGACTCTGAGAGGGAATATCTCCTAGAGCGGTGCTTCTCAGCCTTCCTAATGCTGCGGCCTTTAAATACAGTTCCTCATGTTGTGGTGACCCCCAACCATAACATTATTTTCATTGCTACTGCATAACTGTAATTTTGCTACTGTTATGAATCATCATGTAAATATCTGATATGCAGGATGCATTTTCATTGTTACAAATTGAACATAATTAAAGTATAATGAATCACAGAAACAATATGCAATTATATATTGTGAAATATTTTTTCAAATGACAAATAAATGAAATTTTGTCTTGAAGCATGGTATAGCATGTAACAGTCAATATAACAGCAGTAAACTATATTGCTACCTTTTGTGACAGTATGTGTAAAAAGCCAAGGCCTCCGTTCCTAAGACCACCAGAAATATGTGCTTTCCGATGGTCTTAGGTGACCCCTGTGAAAGGGTCATTCGACCCCCAAAGGGGTCTCAACCCACAGGTTGAGAACCACTGTCCTAGAGCTTTGTGCCTGGGGGTCTCACGGGCTGCCTGACAGTGCCAACCTGCTCATCTTCATCAGAGGACAGTGGTCCTCAAAGTTCACTCTCAAGTCCTCCCTTCTAACTCTTTGCTCACCCCCGAAGTGTTGCAGCCTTGCCCTGGCACCAGTGTGAGCCAACAACTCACACATGCCCATCTCTGGCACGGCACCCCTTCCTCCCCTCTCTGCCACCCTCCCCATGCCCCAGACCCATACGATAACCTCCCTGACCGTCTCCTCCTTGTCGGCTCAATGAGATCTCAAATTTCTTGCATGGTTGTCATTTTGCAAAAGCTTCCGTCATTGGTCAGTGTTGGTGTCCCCATCGAGGATGGCCGGCTCCCTGAAGACAGAGGCTAGTACCCAGCACAGAGCTTGGTACAAAGGGGGCTGTCGGTTGACAGGCTGAACGAAGGTCACAGCTTTCCCTATTTCCATCTTTGCTTTTCTGTTTGTTCAAGCTGACTGACTTTGCATCAATCAACCAAGCTGCTGTGGCTCCCACCCTGGCCATGCATGAAAAACCTTTCTCTGGTCTTTCCCAACCATCCATGTATCCATATCCATCCCCTGCTCCCTCTAACGTCCCTTCTTCTAGAAGCCTCTTTAGCCCCCACGAAACACCCTGTCCCATGCCCCCAAGGAATTCGGGGGAACTCATAGAATTCCATGGGCCAGCCATGCTGCTGAAGGAGCGATCGAGGAGCCACTGGGAAGGGAAAGGATCGCAGCTGAGTTTTCATGAGGCGGCCATCATGTGGCCCCTTAACATTAACTTAAAGGGACTTGTGGATGGAAGGATTTATGCACCTCTGGTGACTTAGAGCTATACCTTGTCCACTGTCCCCATGGGCTGTCCACCACTCTCCCTGGACTTCTTACACAGGTGACCTTCTGCTAGGTATTGCCCAAGCCCATGTCCCAGCCTGGCTGCAGGGGGAATGCTCATGGGACTGGAAAACTCAAGTCTGCACAGCTGGCTGTTGGTGATGGAGGCCACACCATCAGAGAGACTCGGGGAGGCTGAGGGGCTCTGAGCAGCAGGGAGAGGACACCTTGAACCAGAGCCTCGCCCAGGGTCCCGGAGGAGCAGTGAGCCAGAGCCACGGGGGCCTCTTCCCTTGTCCCCTCTCCCAGGAACTGTCCATTTCCATGAAGCTGGCCACCTGCAGCATCAGCTCCCTAACCAGCACATTTGTGTGCTAATGAGAAGCCAGCCAGGAAGGCTCTGCTTCCCAGGAGCACAGCAGCAGGGACCCTCTGAGGCCACAATAAACTAACTAACTCAGCCACAGAGACCCCGCCTCCTTCCCAGGCACAGCTCTCAGTTGGGTTAGAAAGGGGAGGGGTTCCCAGTGGACCCCAACTCCTGTGAAGGGCACACCTGCTTGGGCTCCCCGTGCTCTCTGCTCTGCCCAGCCAGGACAACTTTGCGAGTAGTGGTTCTTACAGCAACTCAACCACGAGCAATAGCTAGTCTGCTCAGTTTCTGCCCAGATTTGGGGCTGGGGTTCTCCAGGTTTTCTAAGAGCCCCAGACCCAGAGTTCTTAACAACTGAGACTGGGACTGCAAGGTCTCTCAAAGCCGCCCCTGTCCACAGCCTCCTGGGCCAGAAGTCTTATGATCTGCAGCACAGGGGTCACCCACCGCAGCCGCAGCCCCTGGACTATCATCTGGCTGGGACCAGGCCTTGAAATGGCCCAAGCGCTGACCCTGGAGATGGGTGCTAACCAAGGTTGGGTGACAGGGGCACTATAGCCACCAAGTCATGCCTGGGGGCCCAGCCCAGCTTCCTCTGGTTTAGGGGACACACGCCAATCCCTACACACCAGTGGGCCCAGGGTATCCACACATGCACGGTCCTCAATAGCATTTCCACAGCCACCAACCCCCAGCCCAGCTCCTGTCCCTCACATGCCACCCACAGTCCTACCCCCTCCAGAGACATGCCCCACACGCATGACCCTCAAGACACACACACACACACACACACACACACACACAC